CTTCTTCTTCTTCTAAGTGGAGAACAGGATACAACCGACTAGTCTGATTAATTTGTTATTCCAGAATTACCGTTAGCCTCGAAGGCTAGTCACACCAAAATTCACACTCAGCTTTTACTTAATGGGATTTTAATTTTTATTGAATATATACATATATATATATATATGACTCTTACAAAAATGAAACCCAGCTCTGATGATTTCCATCATATGATGGACGAAAGCTCAGCACGTTTTCACCCGAAACGAGGGAGGAAGACTCGTGGACTGCGAACATATAAAAGCCGACAAATGAATCTCTTATTCATGCACTTTTATTCGAAATGAAGGTCCCCTAACAATGTTATCTCAGAAGATTCATCGAAACCAAGTTTCTCTTCGTATCTGAATATATGAAGAACAAGATGTTGTCGCCTCTATTATGGTCGCAGTCTCCTTTCGACTCATAGAAGTGGGTTGACCTCGTTGTCGCAACTTGGTCTTGTTGTCAGGGCGACTATGTAGAACGCACCTAGTCTTCGTCTGCCATAGTAGTTGTCATGATTCCCAGCATCTGACAGTGGACTTGGCTCTCGTCATTTTTCATTTTACCGTCTGCCATAGTAGTTGTCATGATTCCCAGCATCTGACAGTGGACTTGATACATTCTCAAACGTTTCGGCCATTGTAGTTGTCATGATCCAAGTCCACTGTCAAATGCTGGGAATCATGACAACGCATAGGGCAGACGAAATCGGACTAGGTGCGTTCTACTCAGTTGCCCTGACAACAAGACCAAGTTGCGACAACCAGGTCAACGCACTTCTTTAATCTTTATTGTTAAGAGATTGTTAGTAATCACACATAAAAAGAATCTACGCCATTAGGGCAGAAAGAGAGAGAAGAAACAGGAAAAGCTACCGAATAAGAGAAGAATGGTTATTTTGGACTCATGAGTACTGCTTCCACAAATCCAATACACGCGTTGGCATTGCAGGATTAGACGATAGTTTATTTTTCGTGTATATGTCGCTGTTAGGGACTAGCAGTAAAGCATATACATGAGAAGTCGGTTGACCTTGTTGTCGCAACTTGGTCTTGTTGTCAGGGCGACTATGTAAAACGCACCTGGTCCCAAATCCTCTGCCATTGTAGTCATCATAATTCCCAGCATCGAAAGGAAACTGCGGCCGTACTGGGGTCCACACCATCTTGGTCTTTATATCTTCATTTATATGAGGTTTATTCACCCTTTGTTCGTTTAAACTGATACATGGACTAGTAATTGAATTGTCCCACAATGCTAAGAGTAGAGCTTAGGTTTCACGTTAATTTCGTGTAGCCTTACTTTCCCAAAAGACATTCTTATCCCAGCACAATTGGACTGCATTGGTCTCGGAAACCCACTTATAATTAAAAAAACAAGTAGGATCTTCGATTGCTATAGCAGTTGCAACTTTGCTTATCGACAATCCCACCTTTTAATGTAATATGTGAACATGGGTCATTGCTCTGTGACCCAAGGGAATTCGTGGCGCTGTGGCGTAATGGTTGACATGTCGAGATTATATGCTACACTTTCCTGGTTTGAGTCCCGCTGGGGGTGCTGATAGGACCAGTTCAGGTCTAAAGTACAGTCAACCCCATCCGGGATGAGAATACTTCTTGGAAAAGCAAGGTTATATGCGAAGCGTAAGGTCTACTCATATGAATGTGGGAAATTAAGCTACTCGTCCTTCATCGCCTCATATGAAATAGTGTGAATATGCCTCATATGTTTTGGTGAACTTTTCTTAAAAGACATTTTCTTATTTTTACGATGCCTTTCACATGAATGAGGACAGCTTAGCATGTAGTCAACCGATTCTTCTTCACACAATACGACAATCGCATCTGCAAGGCCCTTCTCAAGTTTCCGATGAAGTGAATATCCGAAGCTTCTTTACCATATTTTAAAATGAAGCTCCGACGGTGATCCGTTAAGGAATACTTCGAAACCCAGCCTACCTACATATAATGAAGAAGGTTTTTCAGAATTGTATTGAGTCTTGCAAATTGTTTCGTTTATGATTGAGAAATTGCCGACTTTCATTTTTAATCAAGTTAAACATTTTCACTAAGGTGGTTCTATACTGTCTACAAATTGCCGATGAATTTAGCTTGTAACTCATTGTCTATCATTCTCATACTACTTCCTCAAATAATGAGTAATATGGTTTTGCTGTTGATGATTATTCATTTGTAAATAGACTTTAATAATGAAGCTGTACATTTTATTATTTTTGCTCACCAGATGGCATCAGATAATGTGCGCGTAAAGCATGACTCTATAAAGTCAGATAAATTGTGTTATTTGGTACCATATGTTGGTCCAACTGAAATTATGAAAATATATCATTACTATTTTACATTATCAAAGCTATGCATGCTACAAGTGCAAACGACTCTTATGATTCCCACTATGTTTGTAATCGCGAACTTAAAACGTTAACTT